CGCCCAGGCACTGGGTGAGTTGGTGGAGCTGCGAGATAGGCTCAGAAGACTGCTTCTCTACGGCCGCGGAAGGAGCTCTTGATGCATAGAGGTGTGTTTGCGGGGCTCACAGCTGATGGCAGATGACGACCTCATACAGGCGAGTAAAAGAGGACAGAATCCGCGACGCGGTCCATGGAATGTGGAAAGAGGGACAGGCCACTTGGGAAGAGTACAGAAACGTGGTGAGAGCCTGCAGGGATGCGACGAGGAAGGCCAAGGCTCACCTGGAATTGAAGCTGGCAAGGGATGTCAAAAACAACAAGAAGGGCTTCTTCAACTACATCAGCAGCAAAAGGAAGGCTAGGGACAACGTGGGGCCGCTGCTGAATGAGGCGGGTGTCCTGGTGACGGAGGATGCGGAGAAGGCAGAGATAATGAATGCCTTCTTTGCTTCAGTCTTCAGTGCTAAGACTGGCCCTCAGGAATCCCAGGCCCCGGAGGTAAGAGAGGAAGCCTACAGAGAGGACGACTTTCCCTTGGTCGAGGAGGACTGTGTGAGGGATCGCTTAAGCGATCTGGATGTCCACAAATCCATGGGCCCCGATGGAATGCACCCACGAGTGCTGAGAGAGCTGGCGGATGTCATGGATTCACCAAGGGGAAATCATGCCTGACCAATCTAATAGCTTTCTACGATGACATGACTGGCTGGGTAGACGAAGGGAGAGCCGTGGATGTTGTCTACCTGGACTTCAGCAAGGCTTTCGACACAGTCTCCCATGATATCCTCCTAGGGAAGCTGAGGAAGTGTGGGCTGGATGAGTGGTCGGTGAAGTGGATAGAGAACTGGCTGAATGGCAGAACTCAGAGGGTTGTCATCAGCGGCACTGAGTCTAGTTGGAGGCTGGTAACAAGTGGTGTCCCCCAGGGGTCAGTACTGGGCCCAGTCTTGTTTAACTTCTTCATCAACGACCTGGATGAAGAGTTAGAATGTACCCTCAGCAAGTTTGCTGACGACACCAAACGGGGAGGTGTGGTAGATACACCAGAAGGCTGTGCTGCCATTCAGCGTGACCTGGATAGGCTGGAAAGCTGGGCAGAGAGGAACCTGATGAGGTTCAACAAGGGCAAGTGCAGGGTCCTGCACCTGGGGAGGAACAACCTCATGCACCAGTACAGGCTTGGGGTGGACCTGCTGGAGAGCAGAGAGGGACCTGGGTGTCCTGGTGGACGACAGGTTAACCATGAGCCAGCAGTGTGCCCTGGCTGCCAAGAAAGCCAATGGGATCCTGGGGTGCATCAAGAAGAGTGTGGCCAGCAGGACAAGGGAGGTTCTCCTTCCCCTCTACACTACCCTGGTGAGGCCTCATCTGGAGTACTGTGTCCAGTTCTGGGCTCCCCAGTTCAAGAAGGATGAAGAGCTACTGGAGAGAGTCCAGCGGAGGGCTACAAGGATGGTGAGGGGACTGGAGCATCTCCACTACGAGGAGAGGTTGAGGGAACTGGGCTTGTTCAGCCTGAAGAAGAGAAGGCTGCGAGGGGACCTTATAAATGCCTACAAATATCTGAAGGGTGGGTGTCAGGAGGATGGGGCCAAGCTCTTTTCAGTGGTGCCCAGCGACAGGACAAGGGGCAATGGGCACAAACTGAGGCACAGGAAGTTCCGTCTGAACATGAGGAGGAACTTCTTCTCTCTGAGGGTGACGGAGCACTGGAACAGGCTGCCCAGGGAGGTTGTGGAGTCTCCTTCTCTGGAGATATTCAAGACCCGCCTGGACAAGGTCCTGTGCAGCCTGCTGTAGGTGACCCTGCTTCGGCAGGGGATTTGGACTAGGTGACCCACAGAGGTCCCTTCCAACCCCTACTAGTCTGGTTCCGTCTGAACCCGAGGAAGAACTTCTTCCCTCTGAGGGCGACGGAGCCCTGGCCCAGTCTGCCCAAGGAGGTTGTGGAGTCTCCTTCTCTGGAGATATTCAAGACCCACCTGGACAAGGTCCTGTGCAGCCTGCTGTAGGTGACCCTGCTTCGGCGGAAGGGTTGGACTAGATGACCCACAGAGGTCCCTTCCAAACCCTACCATTCTGTGATTCTGTGACTCTTGGGAGCCACATGCAAACCAAGCCCTCGGAGCCCGACAGCATTGCTCTTGGGCGACCCAGCGAGGGGAGCACCACGCTGTCCGAGTGGAGAGTGCTTTGCACAGGGGACAAGTGCCACGGCTGCGGAGCAGTGCTCTGGGTACATCAGGCTCCTGGACAAGCGTCAGGCTCCTTCAGCATGCCCTCTCATGACCCACAAGCTGAGGTTCCCATCACCTTAACAGGGGAGACATAGTACATGCAGCAAGGTTAAAGAAATCTTTTCAGATATCTCCGATCCAACGCATGCACTTGTGCGGTCCATGCCATATTTCTGAGAAGCAGTGGCCTGACGGTAGCTGAGTGGCAGGAGAGATGCACTCTTACCTGTATTTCGGACACCTCCAGTGGAAATCCAATGACAATACATGGGCGAAGATTTACAAGTTCTTCAGTAACTGTCACATCAAAAGGACTGTCTGTCTATGTCCAAGTACTGGCAAAGCCCAGGCTTCTCCCCGTTTTCAGGAGGAGAAGTCACGGTGTTTTCAGTTACATGGTGCAGAACATGGCCAGTTCTCTCATGATGCGCAAAGCTACCAGAACGTTCCTTGCCTCAGGATGGATCTTTGGAAAAAGAAGTTCAAACTGAGATGAGATGCTATCTCTACACCTTTCACACCTGTGGCTTTCACCCTGTGGTCCAAGCTGTCGCTGAAAGAGTTTGCTTCGCATAATGTCACTGCGGTTACCATGCATCTTTCCTGGTTCAAAGAGGTGAAGCACATTATGGTTTTGGTATGGGAAGGCAAGAAGAGAAACATATGATTTGAGAAAGATCTCCCATTTGAATTCTTTAATTTGAACACTTCCATGCTCTTCTTCTTTAGTGCTTTGCATCCCTCCAGCTCCAAAGAGCAAGCGCTGAGCTACAGTTCATGGCAGTTTGCTGATGTCTCCTCTTGAACCGGGGGCTGGTGTCTTGGGGCTTTGTTTCCCTTTTGCGTACCTTGGAGCTTTGGAACCAACGAAAATGCTGACCTAGCAGGTTCATCTCGTCAGGTCCTTTGGATCAAGGACAAGGCTGCGAATCTGAGGACAAAGAAGAATGACAGGCACTGACTGAGACCACAAAGACCATGCAATCTGCTTAGTCCTTTGCATCCCAAAGGATTGTTACTGCAAAGTCAGGCTTCACAGGGAACCAGGCCTCTTTCATCACATTAGCTGCTTCCCATTCCAAGAGGCTCCAGGTTTTCCAGGCTCTTTGGCAATTGCCTGTCATTTCCTCAGAGCTGCGTACCCTTCTGCAGTCTCTTTTCAGAGACAGCTGTCCTGGATTGAATTTTCTCTTTTTTGTATTCTGTGAAGATCACGAGCCACTGACAACTCTGGTCACAGCAGCATTATTCAAAACTTTTCTTGACCGGTCTGCTTTCTGACTCCCAGACGTTCACTGGCACCAAGAGACAGATGCTGCAGGGTCTCTGTCCCAGCTGTACAGTCTCTGGAGCCACCAGTGCCCCCGCCAGCAGCTGCCTCTTGCCCAAGTGCCTGCTGCAGGACCTGCCCTGCCTGCCAGCACTGGCAGCTTGCTGCCAGTTGCCACCTTTCCCTGAGTCCCTTGGCTGTCATGCTGCAGAGACGTGATTCCTCTCAAGACAGGAATTAGGACAGTCTGGGGCTAGGTCCTGGGAGTCCCAAGATGCCAAGGAGGGAGGGCTGTCAGGAGCAGGCTACGTAAGAAGGAAGGCAGAGAAATGAAAGGGCTGATCTGTGGGTGTGATGGGCGTGGGAAGGAGCGAGACCAGGACTCGGCGTAAGAAAACCCTGTCCCAGCACATCATGTCATGGGCGGGACATGCCCCCTGCCCTCCATTACCACCAGATCTCACTACGTGGGTTTTCCTGCAATGGACCGGGTAAATGACGGAGGTGCGACCTATCGGCATCGCTTCTCTTTGCCTGCTCCCACAGCTGCCTCATGGGTCTCTCCTCGCTTAGGAACAAAAAGCACTCAGTAACGGCCTCACCAGACCCCTGCCTCCATGATGGCCAGCGCGCTCACCAGCCCCCCAGTGCGTCGCTCCCCGCTGTCCGTAGCCCAGGATCCCCCTCCAGCCCACACCAGGGCTGTAGGCCCCTGTCCCAGCGACCCTGCAGGTTCTCGGTTTCCAGCTTCCCCCAGCCTTGCCCGGCCTGGCCATGGGTCCCGAAGCGC